AAAAAACACAAACTTAATGGTATTATCATGGATATATGAAAACTATAAAGATTCTAATTATATTTATATTGAATATAACAACTGTAATTAATCTGATCTTTTAAAAATATTGGAGTCGATGGTATTCCTTCTATATCGCTGTTTTCAGACATTTTGATAATATAGGTAGGTAATATGAAAACTGATTTTGACAAATAAAGCAATTAGTTACTTAGGTTAGAATCTAGGACAAACAAAGGAACAGGATTCTTGATTGAAAAATTATGGGTTTCTATTGGTTGATAATCTGTATCGTTATGAAAAATCTGTATCATAATGGATATCATTATGAAACGGATTATGGTCATATAAGTGTATTGTTAAAGTACGGGTGTAGAAAAAGCCTATTATAGTTTAGATGGATTTTACAATGACAACGCTTTTTATGAATTATAGTTTACTACTGTATGTCACTATAATATAGCTTTTTTTTTAAGGAATTTTTTTAAATTTTAAATTGTATAGCATTTATTTTGTTTTGTAAAAATGTGTTTGACACCCTATTTTATATAAATGGACTTTTAGGAATTACTTTTAAACTACTTTGACATAGTTCATAATCGTTTGTCAACAAGAACTCTTTCTTAGGACAATAAACGTATTTTTCTCTCTCTCTGGTACAAAACTTTCGGACAGGATTATGCTGGTATAAGGAAGTTATTAAAAATTAATAACAACTTTTGATTAGGACAAAATATAAACATTCAAATAATTTTCATTTGATGATCATGATGAATTTCAATAGTTCAGACTTCCATTGTCTAATATGATTTAAAGCCCCTAAAAGAACAATTAAAATTGAATAAATAGCTGAACATAACAATTATATTAAGTAAAGAAACCTAAAATGAAATTATAATAAAATAAAAATCAAGCAAAAATTGAACAATTGAAAATTAAGAGTTCAAGTCAAGTTACTTTACGACGTTTCAATTGTTTCCATCGCAACACCGATATTTTACTTCAAATGTGATAAAATCTTACCTGATAGAATTTTCTTTAAGGGCCTTGACTAAAGGGTTATCCCCCGACATTTCAGTAGGGTGTGGTTTGAACACCAACTCGATTTCATTGAGAGTCATGGGTTCCGAGGTTCCTTCTCCTTCGGTATCTGTTTGCTCTGTTCTCTCGCTCGACTCACTTTCTTCGCTTCTTTCTGATGTCAAGACACTAAACGAAAACAAATCATAAATATTTATTTTCTAGGCTTGATAAACCAATTACCTCTTCGGGCGCTTACCCAATGACTTACTGATGGAGCTCACGCTTGACGATACCGGGCTGGGAGGTTGTGAAGGGGTACTACGGCCCGATGGAGACGGACTCGGTACATTGGTATTGGCAGGTGGCGGCACACTGTTTGTGTTGGTGACCAATGTTGGTGGTGAAGTAGAAGTGGGGGAATTTACCAGAGGGGCCTGAGCTGGTGCAGGGGTTCCTTCTGGAGGTGGCTAAAAAATTAATACCATCTGTAACATCTACTTTAACTAACCTGCTGGTGTTTGAAGAAAAAACATCAAACACATCACCCAATCCCTTTCGAATATTTTATAAATAATCAGACCTTACATTCTGCTATTGAAACCAGAGATCTAGGTGTGATCCTAGACTCCATACTTGGCTATAAATTAAACATTTCCGCTGTAATTCACAAATCTATGAAGATGCTTGGCTTTATGAAGAGAACCACCTGTGATTTCATCAACATCACTGCTATTAAATCTCCTTATTTTTTCCCTGGTTAAATCTCATCTCGATTATTGTTCCACAGTTTGGTCCTCTCATTAAGTTACACAGAAAGAGAAACTCGAGGCCATACAGCACAATTTCCTGCGATATATTGCCTTCAAGATGCGTATATACTATGACTATACTGCATTGGAATGCAGTTTGAACATACCTTCTCTTGAAGCTCGCAGAAAACATAGAGATTTAATACTTCTATTCAAAATTATCAACGGACTGACTATCAGTCCCGAGCTTCCCTCCAAAATATCCTTACATGTCCCCAGTCGTTCAACTAGACAAGTGCAAACGTTTTACATTTCTTTTCACAGATTCATATATTCATACCAGAGCATTATTCCCAGAACTCTTCGATTCGCTAACTCTTTAAATAACCTTCAAATCTTTAATATATCAGTTTCCC